ATTATGTATATCTTTTGATAATAAAAATGTTAAACTATTGATCATTAATTTTTAACATAATAATTTTAATAGTTTAGTTATTTATTCTCGTTTTTAAAAATTCAAAATATAACTTATACGAAAAAATCTAAAGTTTAATTTTATAGCTAATTTGTTTGTTTAATTTATTTTAATAATATAAAATTAAAGAAAAATGATGTAGGATATATAAACTGTTATCAAATATTTATTATTAGAATCATTAAGTGTCATATATATATATTAGTCATTTATGGTAATTCCGTAGGTTTTATTTATGGAAAGAAAATAAAATAGTAATTATATATAGGGGAACAATCATTAAGTGTCATATATATATTAGTCATTTATCGTAATTCCATAGGTTTTATTTATGGAAAGAAAATAAAATAGTACTTATATCTAGGAAAACAATCATAAATACTTCTATCATAAATATCATATCATATCATCATATCATATAATTTGACCAATGAATGTATCTAACGACATATAAAAATCGAATGTGGACATACTTATTTTTCAATTGAATTTAATTGACTACCTAATTGAATGACACGTATGCATTGGGACCTCTCTTTTAATTAATACAAAATTGAGGTTACATCTTTTCAAATGTTCCTCAATTAATATATAAGGGATATTGACGATTTGCATATATCAATTTTAACATAAATTCCCAAGTTAACATATTAAGTTTTACATTTTACATATACACTTGCCTTTACCATTAAGTATGTAGTTGGTCACAAAGTAATTTCCATTTTACATATACACTTCCATAAATTAAAAGGAATGAAGTTATTATAGTTAATATATGCAAATCGTTATCAAATCGTATATTTTCCTTTTCTTCCATTACATGCGTGCGATATATATAAATATATAAACTATGTTACATGCGTTATATGCGTCTCTAATTATTTTTCCCTAGCAAATTTNAAGTAATTTCCATTTTACATATACACTTCCATAAATTAAAAGGAATGAAGTTATTATAGTTAATATATGCAAATCGTTATCAAATCGTATATTTTCCTTTTCTTCCATTACATGCGTGCGATATATATAAATATATAAACTATGTTACATGCGTTATATGCGTCTCTAATTATTTTTCCCTAGCAAATTTCAATTGAACGTAAAGCTGCCACGTCAGTTTAATTGGTATGCTAATTGATTGACAACTAAGCAAGGTTACTTTTTAATTAATACAAACTTGAGGTTACATCTTTTCAAATGTTTCTCAATTAATATATAGGGGATAACGTCACATTCTATAATTTGGTGCCGGTTAATTTAGTCACATTCTATAATTTGGTGCCGGTTAATTTACATGTATATACATAAATATCTCAGTTCAAACGTGTTTGTAGATAAAACATAGATAGTTTCGTGAAAGAACAGTATTTGTTATCTGTGAAAGCACATGCATGTACATAATAATATGGTATGGTATATACACATAACCGGAAAAATACAACTAATGTAAACTCGTTTATGTGAAGATCTAAATATGAGGAAATAAAGGACTAGGTCGAGTTTTGGTTTTTGTAACGTGTTATTTCCCATTTGAACAAAAACAATACTAGTCATATACCATAAATGTACTTAACTAGTTAAATTAAAAGAATTATGACGAAGGAAGGAAGGAAAGTGGGTGACAAAGACAAGTTAAGAGGCACATGGAGATGCTTACTAATTTGATCACGTGTCGTCCCCCTGAAACTCCTTTTTCTCTGGACCACGCTTCTCCTCTCGCCACGTGTCCTATCATCTCCCCCCCCCCCTTCTCCGGGCCTCTCCTTCCTTTAGATTCCTCCTCCATCTTTGTTTTGACTTTACCGTTTCCATTTTTATTCTATGGTTTCAACATCAACTGGGGTTGGTTATTGATTTAGTACCACAATATCGAATCCTTTTTTATTATATTATATCATCCTCCTCCTTTAATATAAGATAACTGAATTGTACACATGTATAATGTATAGAATACAAATGAATGTAATTAAAGACTGTTTACGAGGAATAATACACTTTTCAAACCCCCAAAAACTCTATACGTACGGGTCTTAGCCATTATACAATGCGATTTTGATAGACTTCATGTGGGTAATGTAAATTAGTTTAATGGTATATCTAATGTATGGATCGTTTAGAATGGATATAAAGTAACACAAGAGTAAACAAACCTACGCGAGCTCCAAATCTTATCCATCTGTAAATTTTAAACGATCCATACATTACATATGCCATTAAACTAAGGGATTGAAGACAAAAGTTGTAATAAATGTGAGATAGCTAGGGATTCAAACCCAAGGACCAATGTCAAACTCTAGTTTGAAAGTAACGATAAAATCATACTTGTCGTTAATTAGGGTGTATTCATAGAGGTATGTTTACATTTATAGAGGAAAAAGGGGGAGAAAACTAATTATTATTCAATGCGAAAGAAGATGCGCATATGGCACGGGGTAGATATTCCCTTTATCATATGCTTTTGAGTTGGGACTTTCGATTTATTTGTCCTCTAGTTATATACCACTAAATTAGTGTGTAATTAAACTAATCCGAATTAATTATCAGTAAAGCAACATGATTAAAAGAATGATATGTCATCTTTATCCCAACATTTGCCTTCCTTGTTTCCCGTACTTACAACTCCCTCAGTGCTTTGCGTAACAGGTAGATAATTGGGTGGAAAGATTCCATACGTTTTTGCTTTCTTTTTATTAATCAAAAGCTTATCTATCAACACATTCGTACTATACCTATCCTATAATAGTCTTGATGTGCTGGCGACTGATTAGTACTAATGAATTTATTCAGCAATTGAGGCAACTGCCAAGTGCTGCGGGGATGGACAACTTAACCTAAATATCAAAAGTCATATTGTACAAGATTCTATATGTAGTTAGTTTAGCATACACTGAAGCTTTCTTACATTCAGATTGATTCACATCTGTCCATGTTAACAGCAAAACTAAAACCAAATCTGATGGTTCGGCAATCTTTGAAAAAAGAAGCGAATGTCACAACTTTAAACCTCCTCAATGGCTGTAAATGACCAGCAGTAGTTACGCCACGATTTAGGGGATTGTTAAGCGTAATTAATTTTAGTCCTCCAATGTAAACTTATCGAAACCGAAGGAATGCTATCTTGGACTGACTCGGTTAAATGTTTAAAACAATCGAATAAAATAATAACCGAGACTCAGTCAATACGTCAAAATTAACCAACCCCACTGTTACTATAATTAGTCGGATGTTCTAGTAAGATAGACAATGTCAGATAACACGCTTTTACTATATTTGTATGTTGCATAAATCTCAGAGTTGAGTATAAATTAAATTATATATATATAGTCGTTTTCACTATTGTTTTATATGAAATCTATTACTATTTGAGCAACTGCAAAATGGGATTAATTAGTATTTGAGTCTTGCATATATAGACTAGCCAATACTTTCTATCAAAAATGATTTCAGTATGTTTATGTATAGTAATGTAAATTTTACTGATAGCAGTCTTTTTTCTTGTGTTGAATTTATTAGCGTAATGCTACTAAACATAACCAATAAAATAAAATGTTATCTACTCTCTCTCTCTCTTTTTTTTTTGACTAAAAAGTGTTATCTAGTTTGCGGTGATTAATATAGTAAGTAAAGATTTGAATACTGATCTATATGATAGGTATATAAACATTGACGATTAGTATAAAAAGAGACCCGTACTAAAAATCAACAAGTCACATGGATCCCCATTGTCCAGTACACTTGTATAAACATGAATCCAAACTGTATTCTCGTAAAAAACTAGAGAACGTGGTGGATGAGCTTAAAGAACATATATGTCTCTAGCGCAGATAAGCATTTTGTCGGAATAAAAAGAAGATGTCTTTGATCCAACAACACTGGAGTGGGGCTTTATTTGAGTTATATGGTTAGTTCTTGTATATGGGCCTTTCTATTTAATTTTTCAGCAATATATTAGGGCCCAAATATATGAGTTTGAGGCCTTTTAAATGAAGCCCACTTGAACTTTTGAAACGGCGTGGTTTGCAGTACGTCAACGCCTAGGTACGTTCGTCGGCGGGTGTGCTTCGGATGATGAGCCTCTCGAAGCTGATCTCCTTATTCCGTTGCTTAGCGTCTCTGTCTCCGACGGATCGGCGCGTTCTGGTTCTTCTCGACGATCTGTCACTCATTCAATCTTCTTCAGCACTCTCAAATCTCATTCATTCTCCCTTGCGTATAGTCTTGTTATGTATGCTTTTGGATTGAAAGATTATATGTGTTTTGGATTTAACAGCCTCCCCTGCTCTTCAGACATTCTTTGAACCCTACCAACAATCACATGCCTTTTTCTTGCTTTAAGTTTAATATTAATATGAGTATGAGTTACTATGCCTTCATCTGAGTATCAACTCATTCATGCCTCATGCTCCATTGCTAGGTTTTCAAACTTCTTTCAGCATCTCCATCTGCTTATTCTGCTAACCCAAGTGAAACTATTAGTTCCATTGATCTGTAGCTACAAAGATCTGTGTTTTCTTTTCAATGGTATATATCTTATATTTGTTTGAAAGAAGATTAACTGATTATATGTAAAACTTTTTTCCAGATCCGGCAACCAACAGTTTGTGACTGAACTAAGCAAATGGGTCTTGGCCATCTCAAGGTATATGCAGAGTCTTTTTTTCCACTCTCCTATAAAGCTTGTTTGATATATACATTGTTTGTTTAATTAGTCACCATTTTAACCACTTAGATATCATTTGTGCAGGCTGGTAGTCTGGTACACCACAGGGTTGGAGAAGCAGATGAGCCAGCAATATATAGGATAAAGGATGACCTGGTTCTTTACGCACCCAAAGTTTTCTGTCCTTGGGTGATATAATAGCCGGGTAATTTCATGTGGCAGGAATTTTCTGTAGAGATTCTAGAGTGGTCAGGGAAGAGCTGGGAACCCTATGTAGCTGATGATGTGCAGGTTCAGTTTTACATGATGAGCCCATATGTGTTGAAAACCTTGTCAACAGACAATAAGGAGGTGATTTATTTCTGAGCTCCAAAACAGAGTCGTCTCTTTTTTTCTTTCCGGGTTTAAGCTTTCTTTTTATCTTTACAAGTTAGAACTCAGCTTGCCTGGTGTTGCCTACTTTGCAGGGTCTGTTCCATACATCATTCAAGGTTCCTGATGTGTATGGTGTATTCCAGTTTAAGGTTGAGTATGAAAAGCTAGGCTACACGACACTATCTCTTTCAAAGCAGGTGAGTAAACTATCTTCTTTAGAGATTTGCTAACTTTTGTTTAGAGAAAAGACATATAACAGAGGGGAACATATGCAGATTCCTGTGAGGCCTTACAGACACAATGAGTATGAGAGATTTATACCAACTGCGTATCCTTATTATGGAGCCTGCTTTACCACTGTAAACCACCCCCATACTTCCTTCTTCTCTTTTATTTTTATTTCGCATACATTACTGATAATGATCATTTGTGTGTGATTTTTCAATGCAGATGGCTGGTTTCTTTGTCTTCAGCTTCGTCTACCTCTACCATAAGTAGAAAATCCCTTAATTTGGTTCTCCAGTCTCATAAAGTAAGCCAGACTTCTTCACATTTAGACGAGAAAAAATGTAGCATCTGAATTTTGAGTCACTGTTATTCGCAAACAAGCTTTAGTTAAAACACTTTCAACCTTTATTTGTTCTCCAGCTATTTTATGTCTCTTTTCCCCTCAGTAAAATTATCAATATGACCGAGTCAGGTCACTCACTAGTCACTGCAATCAGAATACTTTTTCAAAAATATCATCAGCATGTCCGAGGTAGGTCACTCACTAACCGAGAAACTTTTCCAACGTCTTAAGGTTGATTACTGAGACTGCGGATAATTAAATTCTGGAACACATCCTTTAGGTTACCAAGGGAGCTTGTAAAAAGTCAGCAATAAGAGCAAGCTGTTCACTTAAAATTCGGGCTTGTATCATTGGTTATAGGCTTTTAAGTAAGGCTTTTCAGGCCTACTTTACTATATAAGTTGTCCATCTGGAATGTCTGATTATCCACCCAAGATCATACCGACCCGCCTGAAAAAGTAGGTTTTTTTTCTTTTTCTGATCAAAGTAGGGGGTTAAACTTCGTAATATGGACAATATTATAAAAATTAACGGTCAAGGGAGAGTAGGTGGGTGAATAAAAACAGTAACGTTCATTCAACTGGGGAAGGTAGCTTCGTAAAAAGCAAAGAATCAACCCCTTCTTTGTTTTTTACCACATAAACAATAATGACCCCACAAGATATTTAAAGTAGTTGGATCCTCTTGTGAGAGCAGAAAGCTTTGGGTGGTAAAAGTAAAACTAAACAAAACAAAAAGCAAAGAAACCCTCCTTAGATATCAACTCCCCAAGACTCTCTCATGCAGTGCACACACACTCATCGTCCAAACTCTCCTCTTGCGTTTACGTGTGTCCTCGCTCATTTATCAGCTACCCAACTGCTCCTGCTTTCCGTGTATTTCCCGACGACACTCTGGTCAATTGTCCTAAAAACCACACGTACATCAGTTTTACGTTTAAGTGCCCCGAAATAATTATTCAATGAACAAACTATTTATGTTCTAGATTCTTTATAAACACACACTCTCTCTCTTCTAATTATAAAATTACAATATATATTACATTTGGCAATGTTGATCTTAAACATAGATATCATTGCCTCCCACTAAGAATTGTTTTTTTTTTTTTTTTTATGGTAGAGATGATGATGACTGCATGTTCTCGAACAATACATTAGGAATCTGTTCTCTCGTGTCTTCGTAATCCACTAATGGAATATTCCCCTATGGCTTACTATTTGAAAAAGAACTCTTCTCTTACAAACCGCACCGAATTTTTTTCGTTTTTAAGTAACATACAAACATATAAAGATGATGCTTGCACTTATCTTAACCTATACGTGTTATGGAACACCATATTTCAAATCAGAATCTTGTTTGAGATTGACGAATTCATAAAATTAAAAGGGTTTTGATTAAATGTATCAGAGAATTATTTTAGTAGTTTTAATTTGCTAAAATAAAAGAAAAAGCAAAGTGGACGAAGATGATTGGTCTTGGAAGACTTCGCGTGTTAGCAAGATTTTATTTTTTTCTCCAGAGATCGGACGGCAATGCGTGGCAACTCACTTATGACGTCGGAAGCTTAGCTTGCCACATATGTTCTTCGATCACCAGCATTAGCTAAAGGTTTAGCCTAAACCCATAAAACAACATTTTCATTTGTGACTCTTTCGTTTGTATATAATTTAAATTTATTTTAGTTATGTTATTAAATGTATAAAAAATGAAAACATTATAATAATCACATGAGTCATCAAAATATTTTTTAAAGTTCTTGAAATTTTTTTTAATCTTATTTAGTATTATTATTTTTACTTTGTATTATCATAACTAGTAAGGTATTACAAAACGTGTATTCTCTAATGTTATTCCAATGAAAACGATTTAATCCTCGCTTTATTGTGCTCTTTGATTGCTCTCATGAGAGAATTTGCTCAATTTAATTATCCAAACCCGCCAAAAACGAGGATTTTTTTTTCATCTAACTAATTTAGAGTTGATGTGCATTTTAGTCATATATTATTATTATTATTATTACTATGCATGCAGGATTTAAAAATGCGAACGAAATTCTTCATTTCGTCAATGATTTATATATTTAAAATATCAGAGATGTCTATCGAGTGTATTCACACTGAGGAATAAACCAAATGCATAATTCCACTAATGTTCCTATCTATTCTTTTTTTTGCTTTGTCAGCCTCAGCTATATGGATGCGTTTATTAGGCTCGTAAATTAAAATAGAGTATTATAGTTAGCTGTATCATAACTGACGTTTAAAATAGTTTTAATAAGGCGAGAAATAGATAAGCAACGCCTATGTGTAATTGTGGTGTTTAAAATATCATGTGATAAGATGCTGTTGTTCCAGTTTGTTTGCGTCATTTGTTCTGAAACCAAACGATGATACCTATAAAAGGAAGCTCAAAGTTGTCAGTTTTTAATCTCAGACCAAAACACAAAGAGCTCTGTGTGTCTTCTCTGTTCTGTCTCTCCTTAAAACCTTCTAGCTTTAGAGCTCGTGAGATGGCAACGAAGAAAACACTAGTCCGAAATCTCTTCAACATTTCCAAAACATATTCTCGCATTTCGGGTCTTACCCGGATGCGTCCTCAGACCAAACCCGGCTCCACCCCTGACGCCGGAGATTCTGGAATCCGCCGGAGATTTCTCCACAAGAGGGCCTTTTCCTCGCCGGATATTGTTCCAAAAGGAGGTAATCTCATGGAGAAACTCAGGGAGCTGAATTTGGCGAGCAATCGACTTCGCCTTGACGAGATGTTACCGGCGCCGGCGCCGGAGAAGACGTCTCCGGGAAATTTTCCGGCGGTTACCGTGGAAGACGTGAAAAAGCTTATGAGAGCAGCGGAGATGGAGATGGTGAAATCAAAGCTGAGAGAGATTGGGGAAAAATGGGTTCCGTTGACGGACTTTGTCCGAGTATGCGGAGAAAACAGTTCGGATCCTGAACAAGGTAACCGGGTCGCGAATATGCTCGACGAAGCTGGAAACGTCATCGTTTTTGGAAATTTCGTCTGCCTTAAACCCGAAGAGGTAGTTTTCTAAGCATGCATGCATGCATTTTTTACACATCAAATTACAATTTAAAAAATAAACATCTAATTAATGTCTTTCCTTAATTTTTTTATGATTACAGCTAACAAGCGCCGTGGCTGGTCTTATTCCGACAAACGAACCCACTCGCGACGCCGCGACAAGGCAAGAGTTTGAGCAACTTGAGATTATAAAATCAGATATCGACAAAAGAGCCGATGATATGGTACGACGAGAACTAATGGCCGGACTGGGCTTTGTTGTGGCCCAAACGATTGGATTTTTTAGGCTGACGTTTTGGGAACTGTCATGGGACGTGATGGAGCCCATATGCTACTACGTAAGTTCAACATATTTCATGGCTGGTTACGCCTTCTTCATCCGAACCGCAAAGGAACCTACCTTCCAAGGGTTTTACAAAAGCCGGTTCCAGACCAAGCAGAAAAAGTTGTTTAAAATGCTTGATTTTGATATCGACCAATTTACCAAGCTACAGAAGATGCATCGTCCAGACTTTACTAAATCTGGTCGTTATTGATCGTAACTTTTTTTTGTGTTTGGGTTATCTTCTTATTGGGATACTAATTACATGTATAAACGTCTACAAGTTTTATAGAGATTAAATAAACTTTAGAAGGATCTTTTCTTTATCACAAAAAAACACACTTGGTTTGCACCTAAAGAGATATATAGTTGGAGTATTTTTGGAGAAATTATATAGGATGGCAAGGAGCTTCCAAAAATTAGCACGGAAAGAGATAATTTCATAACTGAAGAAAACCTTTATAAATCCAAGACTAAATCGTCGCCAAATGATGCTACCATGGGCATGGCTAACATTTTCTCCATCAAAGCATAACTTGCAGCTGTTGCTAAAAAAAGTATAACTTGCAATTAATCACACTAAGAAGACATTTGTATAACACGCAAAGACCGTTCCAAGTTTTCAACTTCTTAGTAAAACGAAGGTATACGTATAACATATGGTTTGTTACACTGGATAACGGTTACCATTTGGTGAGATAGAATCTATATATATATATATAGTAGAAGTGTTAGGTTAACCAAGTGATGGTAGCAAATTGTTAGGTTCGAGTGTCATTAACTTCGGAGAGCAAATTTAACAAACCAGTTCTTTGTCCTGGTCCAAGAGGGTTGCGGGTTTCAATCTAGAACTTTTTACAAGGAAGAAGCAAAGATGGAGCAATACAATCATTGCAGATTTTAGTGTAATTATAATAAGTGGCGAAGCCACCTTATGTGGTGTGGTGGCACATGCCCATAAATATATTACAACTTAAAATATCAATACTATTAAAATATAATCATTTTTTTATCTACTGATATAAGTTGTCATTTAAATTTGGACCATTTCTATAGTGTTATAAATAATACAAGACATATAGTTCACTAAACCACATTACTTAAATTAAATCAACGGTTATTTGTAGGATAAAGTGTTGGGCTTACTTTTGTTTTTAGGAAAAATTAATAAACGTTCCACCTTAATGAATCAAAAAATTAATTACTATTTTCATGCCCAAATGTAATTAATATTTTTAACAAAACAAAATTTTATATTATTAATCACTTATTTAAATCATGTACTTTAAAACATGTTAATGTATTTTTTATTTTAAATAAAAATCACTTTGTTTTGATAAATTTTCAATGGTAACTTTTAAATAGTTTCTTATTTTATTTTTCTTAAATAATTTACTGATTTTAAAAAATTAAATGTAAAGCAAAACCAAAAACCATATCTAAAAACTAAAATCTAAAACCAAAAGCTGAAAACGCATGTTATATTATTGTTTTTGTTTATTTAGAAAATAAACTATTGCAATTTTTTTTTTAAAAAAAAATTAGCCATATTTTTAGTTTTAAATTAGATGTTCGATTATTTGGGATTTTTTTGTTGATAATATCAGTTCAAACTAACTCAGCAGATCTAAAACTCAAACGAAAAGCTGAAAATCAAAAATAGAAACTTAAAAACTAAAAACCAAAATTTGAAACCAAATCTAAAAATAAAAACTGAAACTAAAAATTAGTGCAAAATAATCACCACCACAAATTTTGGATTAATGATTTTATACCAAAATATATTTTAAATAAAAACAAAACCCAATTATATAAATTTTTTATCATAAATTTTTTCCGTGTGGATCAAAATCTAGTTTTATATCTAAACATGTAAAGTTATTGGTGGATTAAATGGTAAAAGTGAACTTGTGCACCCATAGTAATCCAAGTTCAAGGCTCATTTATGCATTTTTAATTTTTATTACTATAGTGCACCAAGCAAATAAATGCTCTAGATTATAACGGTTTAAAAATGTCTCACACTACTGATAATATGCTCTTCGGACAAGCAACAACCTCATGTTACTACTCCATCATGATAGTAGTGTTTGTTGGTGAAGGATACATATGATATATAGAGTGATTGAAATCGAAATCGAAATCTAAGGGGTGGCTATTAACAATCTACTCTTTTTCCTCAGCTTTATTCAGAGCTTGTTTTCTCAACTAGAAGAAGAGGAAACTCTTTCTCAACTTTCACGAATATGCCTTCGAAGAACTCACGGATTTTCCGTGCATTGTAGACAGCTACCTATCATCACAAAGTTCGTTCCCCTGGGCTGCAGACAGATAACAAGCCAAAAAATCACAAACACTAACCAAACTCAACTCCTTAGTCTCTCTACCAGGTATCAGATTCAAGTCTTTCATGTCATGGAGCAATCGAATATTGGTTAATACTTAATATATTAATTTAAACGAAATAATGGAAGATTACTGGGATGCGAATAGTTATTGTACTTTATTAAAAATGAAATGAGCACTCATAGGCCACATCAAATTAATATGATAATTTAAGCGAAATAATGGAAGATTACCGGGATGCGAGTAGTTATTGTACTTTATTAAAAATGAAATGAGCCTCGACTTATAGGCCACATCAAAATTAAAATGTGTCCAGTGTCCACCGACGATTTGACGTTATAGTATTGAAGTGACGTCTAGGCATCAACTGATTCAACCACATTTAGAGCTCCACGTATAAAATATTTCGAAATAAACAAGTGAATAAAAAGGAATTAAAACAATTATCCTGCCCGCTGTACCAACTACAAAGTCGTATTAACCAGTAACTAATTAAATATCCAAAAGGACAGTTTATATTAATTTTCTTTCCAGCAGGCCACGATTTATAAAAAGGTACAAAACTTCTTCGAGGAATGGATAGTCGACAAGAGAATACATTACCTTACAAAAAATGATGATGAAAGATATTCAAAAGATGAGAGTCGAGAAGATTAATGCCAGGGACGAAGCTTTTCAGTCACCAGGAGATCACGTGAGATTCATAAGCCCAGAGGTTTACAAATCCAATAGACAGAAGTATCTCAGAAGCTACACGTTCAAAAGCTACGAGGAGGAAGCAGACTTGTCTTCCAAGAAACAAAAGAAGTGGTTCAAGAACAAGAAGATGATGATCAAATTCAAGAAGACAAATGATTCCCTTGGCAACTCGCTCAAGTCTTGTCTCATGCTCTTGTTCTCTTGCTTCCATGTCTGATATTTCTAAATTGATAACCCCCTCCCTCCTCCCTTTACTTTTGTCTGTGATCGTAATTTTTCCGTCTTCACTGTTCTTTTGGAATAATTTCGAACTCCTTGTGTAAACTTTAACTATGTTTAATTCGAATATCACACTATTTTTCCGTGCTCATTGAATATTGATTTCTCTTTTTTTTTTTTTTTTTTTTTTAAATTGCATTAGACTTTTGAAAATGACAGACGATTTGTTGCTGTTCCTGTTAAATTGTTAGCGTGTAGTGAGAGAGTAAAGAAGTGTATTAGTCATAATATTATGCGAGCCGGCACAGTCGACTTGACAGACAGATTCTTCGAATAAAATTCTTTAAAACTTGAACAATGCGTTTTATAGTAAAAAAATCCTAATAGCTATACGGTATATTCGTAGCAAATTCGTAGCTATATAGAGAGCTTGCTACGAATTTGCTACGAATGTACCGTAGCTATTTTGGTTTTTTTCCATATAGCTACGAATTTGCTACGAATGTACCGTAGCTATTTTGGTTTTTTTACTAGTTGATCTTAGAGCGTTTGATGCATGTGTAATGTGTACAACATTATCAATATAGAGAAATTCTTGGATTCACCCTAGGGCGAACCTTTAGGTTCATAGGATTTCATTGTTTTATATTCAGTATCTTTAAAAAAAGAAATAAAATATTATCGAGCTATACTATATTTTTTAAAATTAAAAAAAAAAATAAAAAAAATATATTAGTTACAAATAAAAAATGTTTTTTAAAAAGTATTTTTATTACTATCAGCAAAACACTAAACCCTAAACCTTAAATCCTAAACCCTGAACTATTTGGTAAATCTTCAACCCTAGGATTAATCTTAAATCCTAAGATTTATAATTGATCTATAGGTTTAGAGTTTACCTATGGGTTTAGGATTTAGAATTTAGGGTTTAGTGTTTTGTTGTCAGTATCAAAAATATTTTTACAAAATCAAAGATTTATCCAAGGGTTTAGGGTTTAGGTTTAGGATTTAGGGGTTAGTGTTTTAAAAAATATATTTTTTTAAAAAAAGCTTTTTTGTTTGCAACTAATATTATTTTTTATTTTAAAAACCTTATATAACTCAATAATATTTTGTTTCCTTTTTAAAAGATATTGAATATAAAAATAATGAAATTCTATTGGTTAAGGACGAACCCAAGAATTACTCATCAATATATATGACAAGAAGAAAAATATTCTAAGGACAAAATGCGAAATTTTATTTCAAATTTTGAAAGAGAAATGTGCTGGTTAGCTGGTCCGTCTCAGTTGCGATCAGTGACCAGATAAATGGTAATCAAAGTGATTCTTAATATTCGATCATTGATTGGGTCACTTTCTGATATAATCTATTATATTAAAAGAGAAGTCACAACTTCTCTTTACGTGTGATATTTTTAAAAATGGACCATTTCTAGAAAGTAATATTTCATATATTTATCTTAATAACATTTTATTTGACTTAGTTACAATATCTTTTGATATCTTTCTTCTATTTGAAATAAAATAAATATTTTAAAAAGAATTCTAACAAAATCTTTTAGAATCTTTTATAAACATTAAACATATGAATAATAATATATACCAATAATGATGTAAATAAATATATATATATATATATATACATATTTATAAACGAAATTAAACACCCGCTCGGTTGAGCGGGTCAAAATCTAGTATCTTCTTAAAAATCATATTGCTTTAGTTATTTGGAGTTTTTTCGGCAATAAAGCTATATGAACATGAAGACCCACGTCACATTCAGCACTATCTTTCTCCACGTTCATTTTTTTTTTGTCATCTATGAATTGTATTAACGAAAATTGAGAGTACAAATTGTTACATGCCTTGATACAAGACCAAACATCTCCCATCCTACTAGCCAGCGTTGTGAACTTTAGTCTAAACCCAAAAAACCACATAGACTAGAAAGCAACACCAAAAGAACATAAATATAACAATGAAGAACCATCACTAAAGATATGACAAGTGATTATCTTCGACCAACCAACCAAACTCCATACTGATTTATTTCGGTAACCATACATAATATTCAATCATTTAAAAGAAGAAAAAAGACAATATTAAGCATTTTCTGAGAAGAATAGGTGCGTCCAGCAACATGACGATGATGGGCCATATTGTCACCAGTTACTTCGCGAAACAAGACCCAAAAGGCACATTAAACAGATTTCGAAAAGACCACCAAATCTCACATTACACAGTTCATGTGCCCATTACACCAACTAGGGGCGTGTCAATTCAATAAAAAATAAAATTAAAGTCCACATTTTCAAGATCACTAAAAACATCTTTATCCCTAAACTCCACTTAAATATTTTTCTCAATTTTTAAATTTTCTTTTTCTTTAAAAAACAGACAAAGTATTAAAAAAACACCAATTGCGGGTTGTCATGTGTCAATGGAGACCGTAAACAATGTCAAAAAGCCATCACAAGCGGTTTTGAAGTCACGTCTTTGGGAACTGATTTTTGTGTTTTAATGGGACACATGCATTACTTTTTTTTAAAAGAGACCCATTTTATCTTGAAGTTAAAATTAATTACTCGTTCAAAAGTTTGAAAAGAAGCTCTTGTACATGTAAATAAATTTAAAATACATTAAATTAAATTTATACTCTGAGTTGATATTCTTTATCAACAATCAAGTGCCTAAACTTCAATTCATAGCCTTTATCGAAAAACTTGATCTTTTCATAGAAGTTAACCCACATATTTCAAGATAAATTAGAAAAAAATGATATTTTTGTTTTAATGCATAGAAGAATCATGCAAAGACAGAGTATAAATATTAAAGAGGTTTTAGACCTTAGGTGTTCCTATTTCTCCAAAATTAAAGTTTTATTGGTGTTAGTTCACTGATTAAGTGGTATATGAATTAAAATAATTACTCGTTCAAAAATTCAAATAGATTATCTTGTACCATGAAAATAAATTTAAAATACATATATTAAATTTTTTAACCTGATTTAGTATTTTTTAATCAACAACAAAGAGCCTAAACTTGAATTTATAGCCTTTATCGAAAAACTCGATCTTTTCGTAGGGGTTAACCCACATATTTCAAGATAAATTAGAAAATATGATATTTTTGTTTTACTACATAGAAGCATCATGCACATACATAGTATGAATATTAAAGAGGTTTGAGACATTAGGTATTTCTGTTTCTCCAAAAAATAATTTTTTTATTGGGGTTAGTTCACTGATTACGTTGTATATAAACTTAAAATAAATTACTCATTCAAAACTTTAAATCGATGCTCTTGTGCCATGAAAATAAATTTAAAATACATTAATTTAAATTTATAACCTGATTTGCTATTTTTTAATCAACACAAAAAGCCTAAACTTTAATTTATAGCTTTTATCGAAAACTCGATCTTTTCGTAGGTGTTAGCCTACATATCTCAAGATAAATTAGGAAAAATGATATTTTTGTTTTATTGCATAGAAGCATCATGCACAGACATAGTATGAAGATTAAAGATGTTTGAGATCTTAGGTGTTCCTGTTTCTACAAAAAATAATTTTTTTATTGGGGTTAGTCCACTGATTAAGTGGAAAATGAACTTAAAATGAATTACTCGTTCAAAAATTTGAAAAGATGCTCTTGTACCATGTAAATAAATTTAAAATACATTATATTAAATTTATATTCTGATTTTATATTTTTAATCAACAATCAGAAGCCTAAACTTCAATTTATAGCATTTATCGGAAAACTCGATCTTTTCGAAGGGGTTAGCCCACATATTGCAAGATAAATTAGAAAGTATGATATTTTTGTTTTACTGCATGGAAACATCATGCACTGACATATATGAATATTAAAGAGGTTTGAGACCTTAGGTGTTCTTATTTCTCCAAAAATAAATTTTTACAAGGGTTAGTCCACTGATTAAATGGTATATAAACTTAAAACAAATTACTCGTTCAAAACTTCAAAAATATGCTCTTGTACCATGAAAATAAATTTAAAATACATTAATTTAAATTTATAAGCTGATTTGGTATTTTTAATCAACAACAAAGACCCTAAACTTTAATTTATAGCCTTTATCGAAAAACTTGATCTTTTCGTAGAGTTAGCATAAATATTTCCAAATAAATTAGAAAATATGATATTTTTGTTTTAATGCATAGAAGCATCATTCACTAACATAGTATGAATATTAAAGAGATTTGAGATCTTATGTGTTCCTGTTTCTCCAAAAATAAGTTTCTTTTATTGGTGAGTCCACTGATTAAGTGGTATATGAAGTTAAAATAAATTACTCGTTCAAAAATTCAAATAGATGCTCTTGTACCAAGAATATAAACTTAAAATAAATTAATATAAATTTATAACCTAATTTGGTATTTTTTAATCAACAACAAAGAGCCTAAACTTCAATTTATAGCCTTTATCGAAAACTAGCCCACATATTTCAAGATAAATAAAAAAATGATATTTTGTTTTTCTGTATAGAATCATCATGCACTGAAATAGTATGAAGATTAAAGAGGTTTGAGACCATAGGTGTTCCCGTTTCTCCAAAAAATAAACTTTTATTGGGGTTAGTCCACTTATTAAGTAGTATATGAAGTGAAAATTAATTACGCGTTCAAAAGTTTGAAACGATGCTCTTGTACCTTGTAAATAAATTTAAAATACATTAAATTAAATTTATACTCTGATTTCATATTCTTAATCAACAATAAAGAGCCTAAACTTCAATTTATCGAAAAACTTGATCTTTTCGTAGGGGTTAACCCACATATTTCAAGATAAATTAGAAAAATGATATTTTTGTTTTAATGCATAGAAGAATCATGCAAAGACAGAGTATAAATATTAAAGAGGTTTTAGACCTTAGGTGTTCCTGTTTCTCCAAAAAATAAAGTTTTATTGGTGTTAGTTCACTGATTAAGTGGTATATGAAGTTAAAATAATTACTCGTTCAAAAATTCAAATAGATTATCTTGTACCATGAAAATAAATTTAAAATACATAAATTTAATTTTTAACCTGATTTAGTATTTTTTAATCAACAACAAAGAGCCTAAACTTGAATTTATAGCCTTTATCGAAAACTCGATCTTTTCGTAGGGGTTAACCCACATA